TTGCTCCTTTTAAAACGCCCCCCAAACATCATACGTTTTTTATAAGTGTTGTAAAAATTTTTCATTTTTCACAATACAATAAAGGCCGTTAAATTTGCAAAAGTTTATTTAAAGAAAAAATTTTTTGACCAACAGAATTAGAACCTGAACCCAGAAATTTATTTCAAAACGTAAGCGTACCCACGACGGAAGTCTTGAGCACCGCTTTATCAATTCAAATTTAAAATGAAAGTATATTTCTAAATTATGTTGAATGTCAAAAGGGTGATATAGTAGAGTACGAATAGAGGTCGCAGTGCAATCTTTTGTCTTAAACTTCAGTGCAGTAGAAATAACCATCAACAGCTAATAAAAAATTTAATGTTATGTTCATCAAAAAAAAAATATTGATTAGACTGCAAAAAATAAACTTTGGCTTTGTTTTAAAGTATAATAATAAATCTTATCAATTTTTTTCAAGATGCTATTTGAAAACGATGAATGAAGAATTGATTACACTGTGCCCAAAAAAGTTAAAACGATTTTATTAGGGGTTAGCCCAAGGACATGGGCTCGCCCATCAAGGTCGGGTGCAACGGCGGGCAGCCAGGCTACTGTGGGCCGTGAGGAAAACTCCCCGCGAGCCCGGGGGGTCTGTAGGTCGCGTGTTCCCACGGGTTTTTGCCGTCACCGCCGCCGGTGGGTCACACTTCGCGCCTTTTTCCTAATCCCCTTCTTTTCCCGCTCCTTTGGTTGCAATTTTTGCTAAGTTAGTGCCCCCAGTCTTCGCGAGTGAGTAACGGTCGGCGCGCTCGTGCATACGATAAAAAAAACGATTTTCAACGACCTGTGAAATTTTTTTACGATACACATTGTGTTAAATTGTTCGAACGGGGCGAATGTGTTTTGTACATAGTTTGGATGTTTTGTTTGACAGATCTCGGGGAGCCCCGGGGGCATGGTCATGTTTACGTTTTTTTTTTGGCACATGGTGTACGTGCACGCCCTTAGCGACGCATTGGACACAGTTTTAAACAAAATTGTTGAGATCGCAAATAACAGGGTTTCTCTAAATATACGTTGGGTTTTTAAAGCGCGAGTTGTCATTGTTTCTTGTTACAAGTATTTCATTTTGTTAAATCCAGTTATTGTTATTAGAAGTAAATTCATCATTGACTTAAAGTTTTAAAATCATAATAAAATAGCTTTAAAACGATTTCCACCACTATCTAGAATGAGTAATCACGATTTTGGATGTTGATAAACGATAATTTTGTTATGTTAGTTATCAATAAAATATTTTTAAATAATACACAATTATATTTCTTTTTTTCAGCCTTTAGTCACCTATTATTGGGGGATAGGCCTTTTTATGAGCCTATCAAGGGGGCGGTTTCCCCTTTTATAGAAAAAAGTTAAATTATAATATTGCTATTTTTATAAGGATACACATTTTTTTTTATTAAAAAACTAGCTGTAAAATTTTTTCGTTTCTTTATCTCGATAAAGTGTGTATTTAAAAAAAATCGTAATAAGAATATTTTGTTGGAATAGTCATAAATCACATGTCACTTGTCAGTTAAAAATTTAAATTTTAAATGGTACTTGTAATTGTTTCAAATTGTCGTAACTTCCCTCCCCAAACCTCTGATGAATATGAAAACCAAATTTTTCGTCGTGTCGCGTAGTCAAAAACGAAGGTTTCGCAATTAGACATTTCACAAAAATTTTCAAATTTCCCACAAATTTTTTTTTAGTTAGGTATCTGTTTGATATTTCTACCCTTTGCGACTGAAGCTTTTGACATCTCAAAAAAAATATGAATTGGGAAAGAACAATAAAAAAAATAATAATACACACTGCTTTTTAAAAAAAAATTTAACATTTAATCTCGCAAAAATGAAACTTAGTCACGGAATTTTTGTTTATAAAAAAACCATTTTTTTGTTAAAAAACAAAAAAAAACGTTTTTTTTTTACAAAATTTGTTAAAGCGATGCAAACGTTTTCTAGCCCCTTTCTTTTAATTAAAACACCTTTTTTAATCTTCTCGGTTCATTTCGATGTGTAATTACTCAGCTACTCATCGAAACCTTGAATCTTATAAAAAAATAATTAAAGTGACTTTAATGAGAAAAAAAACATTGTTTAAGTTTTCTTAATTCTCTATATTTTTTTTTAAAAGTCCCTTTTAAAAACCGTCCTTTCAGATGGCTTGACTGTGGGATTATGGTCTTACATTTTAGCCCACCTGTGTTAGCTGGGGTGTTTTCGCAAGGACATTTTAAAGGGCGGGGTTTTGGTAAGGGAAAATATGATATACTTTTAACAGTAGTGAAAATAAAAAATCGACTAAGTGGCGTGCATGCAGTCCCCTATGTCCAGCATGCACTGGATAGGTGTAAGATTTTTTTTGAAAATACGATTTAAGTATTGAGAACGAAAAGCTGCAAAACACCGTCGTTCTAGTATTTGAATTTTTTTCAATTACATCATTAAACAGGTGTCTTTTTTATAGAATTTCAATTGTATTTTTTTAAATTAAAAAAACACTATGAATGAGGCGCCCCCCCCCCCCAATTTTATTTGCTTTTTAGATGATGACGGTGCTTACATTAAGATTTTTTTTACAGTGTGATATACTGAAAATTTTTAATATTAAAGGGACCTTTTTAAAACCGATGTACCCTTTGGTAAAGTAATATCTAGAAAAAAGGTATAATTTGCCCTAAAGAGCCAAAACACGCTTATCGCAATAATGTACCCTTACGACATTTCTTTTTCTATTACACTAGAGAAAAAGGGCTTGAGGATTTTTTCATATATTTTTTTTTTTTTGCACAATGTTTTAGGAGAGAGACGAGTAAGATAAGGAAAACTTGAAAAAAACCCATACCAACCCGTCTGGTCAGCGTGGGATAGTAGGCCCAAAAAATCCTTTTAAAGAGAGGCCTATGTCCACAGTGGATAGTATGGCTGTTGATGATGATGAGATTTGGGATGAAAATTCCAAAAAAAAAAGTAAGCATTTTCCCTTTTTACAGCGTCATCATGATTTACAAAATTGTTAAAATTACTGTTATCGATGATTAAGTATTTAAAGAGGGGGATACAAGTTTTCCCCTTCTTGTTTTCCTTTTGCTTTTCTTTTTAAAAGGGAGAAGTGGGGGTCTGGGAGCCTTGTAAGTTTTGAAAGTAATACTAGACTAAGTCTCGACTGGGACAAACTTTAAAATTCAAAATTTGGACGACCTCAGTACAAACACCCATCGATAACTTAAAAAAAAAAATATCTGACAAAATGTAAGTTACGAATGTTACTGTTTACCTTACTAATAAGAATTTTTACGGAACGATAGTCTAAAAAAACGAACAATTGTGTGATCGGAAAAAACTGGCGCGCCCACAAGAAAACCAAAATTTTTACTATTTTTTAAGTAAAGTAGAACATCACGTTTCGATGAGATTAATTTTTAAAATATCGTTTACGTAAATTATTCCAGCAATTAAAAGTTAAATCTTGATCAAATCTCAATCTTTTAAACAGAGATTTTCCCGTAAAAAAAGGAATATGTTTTTCCCCTTAGGCACTTATGTAAATCATTTTTCAAAAAAGCCACGCATAAACCCGATGACAATAGGGTAAACATAAAATCAAAGAAAAATTAATCCTAAAATTTTTTTTTTTATAACAAACATCATTAGGGGTTTGTTTCCCGATTTATTTCATTTTTGCGATCCCTTATACGAATATTTATTTTTTTCCTTTACGGGTGAATATTTATTGTTATAACGTGTAATACAGCCATTAAAAAAAAATAGAACCGTTTATTTTGAGATACGTTATTAAAAAAAAACTGAACATTAAAGAAACAAAATTTTTGTTTTTGGTCAAATTTCTGACAAAAATTTCGTTTTTGTCATATTTTAAATGAACCAAACGATTTATAGATCAAGTACTCGTACGTCGATCAAGAGTAAAAAACGTTTAGTATCAAATACAAAAATCATGGGGCCCAAAAACTATGAAAGGTGACCCGAAACATTTACGATGCGTCGAACCCAAAGGCGCCTGGGCCCTAACCTATCTTCTCGCTTTGCCACATGATTTCCCCTAAATAGGTCAATCGCGACCCTTGAATCATGCGAAACTCGTCTTTATCCTTTGTAAGGCATTTCACTGCCACTGCGGATCTAAGCTAATGTTTTCCACTGACATTCAAGTAGATTGATAAAGCCGACTGAATGAAATTTAATATAGTACTAATATTTCTTTATGTCTGTAACAACATGTCGCAATGCCGTTTTACATGGCATATTATGGCTTAAATAATATTTACCCTAACTGCTATAGGCAGCTGAATTGTTTTTTAGACAATGAATTTTCAGAAAATATAAATAAAAATGTTAAAATGCATGGGCTCACGCATTTTTTACAAAAACACCAACACAATCAGCAACGTGAAACAAATCCTGTCGAAAGAGAGGACGGGTGATGATAGCTGGTATTCTGCAATAAGCTCTCCCGATGTTAGTGAATCGCGCGCTGATTACCGAGAAACCAGCGCCAGGCCAATACCCATAAAACCAAAGGGGGTTTTCTAGTGCTCAAAGAAGCTTAAGAGTATACGGCAGTCCTTACGAATTCGCTTCTAGTCCCCGTGATCGCTATCCGAACTTTGCGAGTTACTTTCGTGATGTGATGGAAGAAGAAAGGAAAGGTTCCCCCACCCAACAGCACTATCATACACACCACCCTGACTATAGACGACAACGAAGCGATGGAGAGCGTTACCAGATTGGCATTAACACATACCATGCGCCCGCCCGACATGAGTACCGAAATTATATGTCACCACTCTATAACGATGTTATGGATGATATACAAGAAAACGAATATATGTAAGTGTGAGCGTTACGGAGAAATAAGCAGCACTAAACTAAGTCATAAAAATCGTTTTGATAATAAAAGTTTTGCTCAAAAACTTACCGAAAGTGTGAGTAGCGTTAAGGATAAAGATCATGTGCATGAAAGACGAGGGTCAGGCTCGAGCAGTAGTGGACATCGACAGAAACCTCACACTATCCAAGAGCTGTTTCGAACCTTTGGAAAGAAAGTCGGTCATTGGCGACACGAAGCGTCTGGAGAGAGTCGCCGGAGTTTCTTGTGCTATTCCCGCAACTAGTACAGGCGAAGCTCGTGCGATGAACAATGAAGAATTCCGTTCGCGATCTAAATCTCTTGACGGTGATCACATCCACAAAGTTTTAAGGAGACCACTGCTGGAAGACTGCGGTGCAACCTACGAAATCTTCGAAGCAATATTGCGAGAAGGTATGAACACATAATCCACATGAACTCTTTTTTTTTTACTATATGTAAATATTCTAACATATTCACCTTTCTCATAGAACTAAACTTTCTATATTTAGATAATTATGTTTATCATTGAATTTTCATTTTCGCTAAAACTACGATGACAGCAACAAAAAAATACATCTGGGAATGTTTTAAGTCATTCACTAAATTTATTTTTGTTTGTTAAAGTGTCCAAGATGTCCTAATAGACTTTGTCAGCGATTTTCTCACTATTTTGTGTGAGATGATGCAGGAATTGGATACTGTTAAGACTTGTTTTAACTTACTTAGACTTAACGTAAAATAAATAAACTAATACAACTTACTAAACAATTTAACTATTATCTTTTTCCATAAAACCACGTTAGTTAAATGCTTACATTCTTAAATTTAAGCTTAATTCTAAGCCCTTACGTTTGACTTCGCTTACCTGAAAGTAATATTTCAATCACAAGAACCGTAAGTTAATTAATTAATAAAGAAAAAGTATAATTTCAATACGGTGTTAGACAAAGATGTCCTAACAATTTACATAGTTTAATCTATTTATAGTAAACTAATACTTAGTTTTAGTAGTAAAACTAATACTTAGTGTTAGTATAAATGGGTATAATACTGTACATAGAAAATGCTAATACAAATATACTCGTACATATAAATTTGCAGTTATCGATAATCAACCTTAGGGCTTCGTTGAAGTTCCATATTTGAGCGTCACGCCGCTCCAAATGGGTGATTAACAGGCATTCGATTTAAGACCAATATGTGTGAGTGTGGCACCTTTAAATATGTTATATTTATATACATAATAATTTCCTATATCTTATGCTATGAAGCAAAGCAAATGCCAAGGAAATTTAAATGTATACCAGCTATAATAGTGTTATTAATTAGTAGCACTGATTTGTTCATTATGTTTCTGTTCATGATAAAACGTGACAGTGTACTTATCTAAAAAGGTAGCGGAAAGGGAATCGGAAAGGGCTAATAAATACTCTCCCGTGCACTCAGGTGTTTGCCCTCTTCCTCGCCTTTATAGCATACACTCCGACTCTCCTGCAGTAGAAAGTGGAACATTTGGGTTGAGGTAGTTGGTTTAATTCAATTTATCCACTTCACTTGTAGCTCTGACTAGGTGATGAGGTGTGGCTAGTAACCACTTATCACCATACACCACCGGTAGAACTGTCGCATTTATGTCCAGTAGATATCAAGTCTCTGACACTGGTAGTAGGAGTTCCTAATATCCATTAAGGAAAACGCTTATGAGATTTTTGTTTCCACATATTAAACATATGTAATTGAATGACTAATGTAATTATGTTGTTTATTAATGTAACTGTTGTTGGCGCACGCGCAGTTAGGTTTATTTTAAAATGGGAGCACGAATGCGCGATATGTGTTTGTCTGTCATTTACAAATGACCGCATTTATTATTTATGTCATAATTAAGCTTCCAACTGATTTGATTTTGTTGAAAACACGTTTAATGGTAAATAGATTAAGTGAGTGAAAACTCAGTTTTATCGATCCATTCTTGTAATGTTCTATCTTGTTGTTTTCTACTTAAATGCGAAATAGATTCTGTTAACCAAATTAAATTTGAATTACTTCAGCAAAGGGTAAAGTTACTAACTGACACTGACACAGTGTAGGAAGGACAACATTCCTAGGGTGGGCCATGCGTCGCCATCTTCTTCATTCAATTCTTTATGAGCTTGTTGTGGAAAAAAATGGAAGTTACCTTATCTGAAATAAGATATACGATGTCAACATTGACGGGTCACTAAGATTACACGTACTCAATTTGAATAAATGCATTAACATTTTTGCAATTTCCTCTAAAGAAATATGCTAGGCAATAGTATGTGGCTTAGTGATCGTTTAACATGAATCTGTCTGCACGAACTTTATGCGAACTTATATTATAAATAATATTTCATGAGGCTGTTGCAATTTATTTGCGTGCAAATTATTTAAATTTTCAAAAAACTGAAAAGAAAAATGGCACATACAGGCATAAGTTGATAGATCTTCATTTTTAATCGAAATTGTAAACTCCTTCGTGTTTAATTTTTTGAAGGTCATTAAACAGTACCCCACATCACATTAGACGAATTAAATAATTTCATCTCCACTTTATTTGTAACAGTGGTCACGGATAATGGGAGGACGATTTTCAATGTCTAAACATCCTGCCTCTCACTTGTTTACAATATCTGGAAGTGATTTCGTTAAAAAGGGATGAAAATGTGTTACATGAGGCCGCAAAAGTACGCTGAATCGACTTCGAACGCTGTGTGTATCGAGGTTTATTCCTAAGACTTGTGTAAAAAATTTAAGCCAATGTATTTAGCAGCCTTTGTAAATATTAGTGTTTAATTTATTAGTTTTGTAGGTGTAGCCAAAGAGTGCTCTTGTTCTTTTATGTGGCCTGCATAGACCGGGTTCGAGTCTATCAAGGTAAATTCATTCTCTCCAGCATGCATTCGCTCAAATATATTAAACAACTGAATTCATGTTTTATCAGGATTCGCTTTTTGTAAGTGGGAAAGGAAAATTCCGTAGAATCAGAAGGTTTTGTCTTTTTACAATTGGTAATATGCTCGTATAAAAACTTGTGGTATTGAATACCTGGTTGTCCCATTGTCCTTTCAAGATTTCCATCAATTTATTTGACGGATAAAAGTACCCACCATTATTATTTACCACCCATTATTATTATTACCACGCATGGCCAGAAATTTACAAAACTAAATTTAATTAAATCTAACAACAGAATAGATTACTCTCTGTTAATATGGGAATGATAATTATGAATAAATATCTAATAGTAAAGTTTACTTGAAATACAAAAAATACTTTTCAAAATAAAAGGTTTACTGCTCATGAGTCTCATACGTTTTATTTGATATATTTATTTTAGTACCTTACCCTTTTGAGTGCATTTTAATAGGCAATTACACACACACAGTATGCATGTCATTGATATACTCATAGTATAGAAATAACCTCAAAGTCACAAGCTGTGACTACTCGTTTAGTGTGCATATTGTTCAATGGAAATGCTTTATCTGTTTGACATCTGTTTATGAATCTAGTTCTACCGTGACAATATGTGTAACATATTTTTTGTATTTAGATCTTAAGCCTCTATGTCTCAGGTAGGCACTTATTAGACATAATTAATTTGAAACAAATTTTTTAAAGAGCAAGATCCCAGAGCCCCTAGTGAATACTTATTTTCTGATGGACTAAATATGTACAATATATAGTAGTATTAGTGTGTACAGTGAACTTATACATACCGCTAGTTTGGGCTGAAGACGGCCAGTTTTCAAGTGCCAGATGCTACAGGTACGTAAAAATTGTACTGACTTACAGATTGTCTTTATACTCTATCTCTCTTTAACTGAAAGCTATATAAATATTGGAAAGACGTATATTTACAAGTGGGTGTTCTTTATAGATACTTACACGCTTAGTAATGACATATTGTAGATATTTTTTTTATTTTTTGCAATCTGCCGTCTTGGTACGATTTTCTTTAAATTATTTATTCATACAGTAGCTACATATTTGCTATTCTAATGACCCTAAAGATTTTGGCTTTCGTACTTCTTTCGAAGTTACTAAGTACTGTCTAGGTAATTAGTAATAGTCCAAGATCCCAGGGTCCTAAGAATTTACTTATTTTCTGATGGACAAAATATGTACAATAGAGTAGTATTAGTGTGTACAATGAACGTATACATACCCGCTAAATTGGGCCCAAGGGCCCAATGTTCAGGTACCAGGTAGCCCAGGTACGTAAATCTTGTAATAACATTACTAACAGTCTGAGGACTGTATTTTTACAAGTGGGTGTTCTTATAGATACTTACAGTATCTATAAAGAACACCCACTTGTAAAAATATACGCCTTTCCAATATTAATATAGCTTTCAGTTAAAGAGAGATAGAGTATAAAGACATAAAAAAACACCATCTCCATTTATTGTAAATGTTGGCAATGCACCAAATTTCAAATATATTTACCTATGAAATTGCCGTTTTGTATGCAATAAGTGAAAGTACTTATTTTTTCAACTTTTTTTATTTCTGTTATTCGAAGTAATCACCCATGCAATCGACGCATCTTTGCCAACACATTGGCAGTTTATTGATGCCCTTCTTGTAAAAATCAAGCTGTACGGAAGGCAACAAACTCTTCAAAGGCATTTTGTTACTGCCTCTCGGGAATTGAACTTTTTTACCCACTAAAAAGTTGTCTAAATTTGGAAAAGTAATAGTCGGTAGGTAAGTAATAGGCGGATGAGGGACGAGCTCACAAGTAAAGTAAGCAAGCGGTACTAAGAAAAATTTAATGACATGGGATTATTAAATCATAGATAATTAATTGAAAAGATACGAGAAGCTAATCCCTTAAGGCCATAGACAATCCTACTTTTACTATTTTATAGTGTTAAGCATATCTATACTAATATCATAAAACTGAAAAGTTTGTTTGTTTGGCTGAACGCGCTAATCTCTGAAACTACTGTAATTGAGAAAGGCTATGGGTTATCAAATATTACGGTAGACCACGCGACAGAAGTAAACTTCTTTAGCTTTATCTGTAACTGGCTATGAGAGAAAGAGAGAAAGAAAATATGTGCTCGCACCTCTCTCTCTTGCCCCTACAGTAATATACGAAACGTAACTCTCTCTCTTTCTATCTTCACTAACTTATATCTCCCTCTAACCTTTCGTTCGCCTTGATCACACTCCTCGTAACGCTACTTTATTTTTTTTTGCAGAAAATCATCACGTTTCTCTTTGCAGAAAATCATTCCTTTTGAGAGATGCAGACGAAGTTGCCCGGGTTATCTTTCATTCTTGTATTATTAACTGAAAGGTGCAAATGGTTGCTTTTGTTTACATCCTTACATTCACCACCTGTATAATTGAGTAGATAACATTGTTGTTGTTTATAAATAAATTAGAGAAG